TGGGGAACCTACACATTCTGTTGTGATGGGCTGGGGTAGTGTTCATATTTTTTTTAACGACATAATTGCATAAACTAATTTTACTGGAATATTTTTATCAGTATGTTTTTATATACACTGTATGGAACACACTGGCCTTTTTAGCTCATTCTGTAGTTTTACCCCTTTTCAGATAACAGCAAACCGTAAACTATTAGATTTGGCATAAGGGGAGATCAACTACTTATTTTGTACGAACTTATATCTCTATATGTTTTTCAGTTATGTTTGGTGACATGTATTTGCTATCATTTTGGATATATCTGTATTATTAACATTTTGTTCTATATTATATTTAATGTATTATAAGATGTTTTAAGAAAAAAAAATCTCTGAATGGGATATGTGTCTACTTAGGTTTGAGTCTAAATTACAGACCGAATCTGGAGGTTACATGAACACTCCTCCAGCATGTTCTACGATACTAAGGCTCGAGCAAAGACATCAGAGAGGAAATAAAGATGACACAACTGATTGTAATATCAAACATAGACGGAACAAAATTTTAGCAACAAGGCAGATACCAACTCAATCATGGGTCTTACCATACTTGTATTACACAGAGCTTAGTACTAAATAGACACGAATTTTACAAATATTTTTCCCAAACGAAACTCAAAGCGACGTCTATCAGAACTTGTTAAAAACTATAGTTGACTGAATCATCAAAACATCTAAGACTAAAAAAAATGAAGTCAACAAAAAATTCAAAGCATTTAGGGCATTCACAGACTACCAAGTACAAAATTTAAATTCACAAAGATAAGTTTTTTTAAGAATCCAAACTATCATCTGTTCGAATTGAACGATTGATCTTTCAAGGTATACACGATGGTCACACAATTGGCTCTTACAAATTTATGATGTGCACTTTGAGGTCTAGTTCGATCATCAAACTTTATCGAAAATCGGTAATGAAATATCATTTTAGAAATCACGACAATAAATTCATCAAGATCAAAGAAACTCAAATTTGAGTGAACCCAACGAGTACTGAGAGATTATAAAGAGCAAAATTTACAAAATTTAAGTTCGCAAATCTGAATTTTCAAAAATTTGAGTCAACAATAGACTAACGAGTCCCTTAACAACCAACATACAAATCACCACAATAACGACTACGATTAGGGCCTAATGCGATTGTTTTAGAATTCATACGACACTTGTCTTCATAGGACATTCAAATAAGGAATATTATCACGAACATCATAGTATTCTTTTAACAAGGCTGGAAAGACATTCACTTATTAATACAAGAAAGATATATCATATTTGAATACTAACATCATCTAAAGATTATATGTAAAAATATCTTTAAAATTGAGGAGACTTCCCCTTATTAAATCAACGAATGATATATTCGATGGTTCTCAATCTAAATCCAACACATAAGAATGCCATTGAGTCGAAATGGCAAGATCATAGTGAAGCTTTAAATTTATTAAATTTGTGGAGACACTTCTCACAAGTGTCATCATCCGAGTTAAGGTTAAGAACCTATGATTTATGTAAGAATTAAACAAAAGACAGCTCTTAAAACATATAGTTTTTTTAATATAAAATTTGCTCCCCACGAGTCATTGATTTGTAGGAATAACACGCATCTTTCTCCCACAATGACCCGATTAGTTAACCATGGGTCACATATATGAAATCTTAGAATTTAACTTCATATAAAAGCTTGACATAATTCTTTTAGAATAAAATACGACCATTCATCACTATAGGATATTCAAATCAGGAATGATATCTTGAAAATCAAGGGTATCAACTTAACAAGTGAAAAACGTTCGCTCGTCGGAGTAGGGAAAAGATCCACTGGATCACATACATATATCGTTTAAGAATCGCAGGTAAAAATCTATCAAATTGATAGGACTTGATCTTATCAAAGTAGAGGAATTATCTATCCAATCATTATAGATTTAGAGTACTTACAAGACATCATTGATGGAATCAACCATCATAATAATGAGATCACATCAGAGTCTCAACTCTTTGTAAAAGTTCACGAGTATAAATCACTATGATCATCCTTAAAAGCATGCTCATGAACCTTCTATCGGGGTAAAGGTAGGGAAACAATTCTTAATAAAAGAGATGTCTTATCAAATTTGCTTTTATAGGTCAACAACTCAAAAATGAACACCCACTTCTTCCATAATAATTTGATCAATTGATTGTGCAGGCATACAAATTTTATTCTTCTTATAATTATTATCATGGAAATCAAGTTTCCATAAGTAGACTAGTAAAAATGTTTCCCATTCATTGTATACTGTGATATCCAAGACACGATTAAGGAATAAAATTCAGCCCACATACATCTATAAAATTGACTAAGGAGGATAGTCGAATCGAATCTTGTTCTAATATATCACTCAACACTTCAATGAGATTACATTTCCACATATATTTATCGTTTTGGTACAAATCTTCTCTTTTCAGCCTTATAATAATGCTTTCTACACTTTATCTTAATATTTATTCACAAATTCATAAATCACTTTCTTAGCTTTATCCACAATGAGAGACTAGGTTCCTCAGTAAAATCTTTCCTAACATATTTTAGCACCTTATATGATAAACTCACTAAAGTTCTCATTCTCAATTTAGTCATCTCAACAATTTTCTTATAGGTTTTTCTTTGTTACACATTTATTAATTAATGCTAACACATTAGCTTACTAATTAGAGATGGATGAACAATATAAGTCTCAGTCTGCGAGTATACTCCGTAACTTTTTAGGGCAAGTAGGACTCGACCAGGTGAACCTAGAATGGACTTAGCTCTAACTCTGATACCACTAAATGTTATACTCAAATTTGAAGACTTAAGTGCCACACAGAATCGCCGAAGTGACTAACCATTCTTTTTTGGTACTCTGCTAAGACTCTTTCGATGATATCATTATCCTATCACACTCTATGAAACCTGAAACCTATGAACGAAAACACATTCCGAACGTTAAGCTTGCAAGTCCTCGTTAGATAATATCTATATTATACTACATGCATTATAACATAACCATGCTACAAGTATAATCAGAGAAGCAATGCTATTATGTTCTCATTGCTACAAACAATTTATCCAAAGTACATCCACTAACATAAAAGTATGACTCTCATGTTTCTCTTAATTCATATCTAAGGGTCTCACCATGAGTATACATATATTGGTTTTAATCACAATATCATACGATTATGTATCATCGTATGCAACACAAAATCATCAAACAAATAAGTTGGGGTAGACATCATAGTGTAGTCGAAGAGTTTACTGTATCTCGAGACTGACAACCATCTAGCCTACTAATGATACCATCGAGTACCTAAGGTGAGTTCTGAAATTTCTACATCAGAAACGTGTACACGATTAACTTACTCATTGTGAGAACTCAAGTTATTTGCACCCAACTAACAAATTAAGTGCTTTGGCACAAGGTGTGATATATCTGGATATTTGTAGTCAAACAAGAAGATCATAGTGTACACACAAACAATAGGGAGCCCATAGGCCACACATATCAACCAATGCCACACAAGGGCAAACAAGGTAGCTCAGCTACTCACTAACATAGTTCATCACAATCGAGTGAGGTCATCCCTCAGTCAATATTATCTTGCTCGTTCTCTCATCTAAAATGTTATGCAACAGTTCTTTAGTTTTTTAGTGTTTTATGCCCTTAGAGCGATTAATACTCATATTTTTCAACTTGGTATATTATTATGTTGTTATCTTGTCATTATTACCAATTCAACATTTCTAGACTCCTCACTCGAGTCTCAAAGTTATTATTCATTAACTTAATAATTCAACTCTTATTAGCATATGTTATTTTATTCACTTAAGGGCGGTTTAGTAAATTTAGCCCCCTAAGGGTATTCCAGTAATTCACCCACTTACAAGTATACCATATGTTTAAGACTTATGGAAAGAGTACTTAATTAATTATCAGAGTCTTAATACCTTTTCCCATCTGTATAACCGACTCCCGCTATGGGATGTTAATCCTTCCTCATGCCCCGATTTATGATTTTCACATACAAAAATTTGGTATTTTTTATAAGATAAAATATTTTATTAAATTTACTCGAGTTTAGGTGTTCTAATTACACCTAAAAATTGATTGGTGGCGACTCTTATCTTTTCATCTAAACCCTTTTCCAAAAAAAATTCATCATCGTAATTTTTCGACTTTTCCTTGCGACACATTTGAATTATTATTCCTTAGTAAGAAGTCAGTTCCCTTGATAAAAGGTCAATGTGATAAGATCTTCATCATTCTTCAAGGATCGAATCAAATGAGATTTCAAGGATTGAATCAAATCAGATAACAAATGGATAATAATATTTTTATTTTAATGTTATGATAATAATATTTGATATTTTAATAATATAATATTTTTATTTTTATTTTAATATATAATTAATAATATTTATTATTTTTAATGTAAAGAAGAAAGTTCGAATCAAGCTAGAGAAATAATATTGACTAAATTATTCTAATATTTTAAAATTAATATTATTTATTTTTATAATAAATGATAGCGTTTTTTAATATTCAATATTTATGATGATTATTTTTTTTAAAATAATTTATTAACCAATGAAAATGACTTTAACCTCATTTCAAACACTGTAAAATAATTTGGGAAGCTATTTAAAAAAAATCAATTCATTTTAACTGAATTATTTTCTAAAATATGATATCAATTACAATAAATCAAACATATCCTAATATGAATTGATGTCTACTCCAACTCTGACTACAAATAGTAAAACGTTAATTTGATTTAATCTCTTTCAAATTCAACCTTAAAATGTAATGACATATCTAATCCAAACTGATTTCACTTGAGATATATTATTAAAAGATAAAAAAATTAAAAATATGGCAGAAAATTATTTAAAAAAGGAATTTGATTTAATCTTATCTTTCCAAAAGGACCCATTTTGAATCGTTTGGCTCTCATTTGCCAACAAATGACCAGTGCAGACAAATTGAACAGGAAAAGAAGAAGGAAGAGGGGAGTCGACTATGGTGTTAGCCTCCACACGGGAAGGCGATGGTGATGCAAAGGTATATTTATATATTTTAATAAAATAGAGAAAGATTAAAGAAGAGACTAATAAAATAATTCCACTCAGCAGGTCCAGAACCACCGACTGTCAGTACCAGTTCTCAAAACACCCTTTTAAGCATTGTTGGTGTTAGCCGTTGAACGTTGACTTTCGCCTGATTTCTCTATTTTTCGAGTTTCACTGCCGATCTTTGCTCTGTGTTTGAAGATATGGCAGAAGCGATTGTTTCGGTGATCTTGGAGCAGCTGGCGGCAATCACAATCGATAAAGCACGTGAAGCCTGGAGTCTAGCGAGAGGTGCTGAGGATGAGGTCAAGAGGCTTGAAAGCAACTTCAAAGCACTCCAGTTGGAGCTTGAAGATGCTGAAGAAAGAGAATATCAGGACAAGCGGGTGAAACACTGGTTAGACAAGTTCAGAGATGTTTCTTATGACATGGAGGATGTATTAGATGACTGGGAAGCTGCAGTCCGGCAGTTGCAGAGAGAGGGGCGTTCAGTTCGAAAATGGAAGGTATGTCCCTTTGTTTCATGCTTTTCTTCTGGTTCCCAATCTGTTATGCGTTATGGTATTGCTACCAAAATAAAGGGAATCAATGAACAATTAGACCAGATTGTTAATGACAAAGTTAGGTTTGAGTTGATAAAAAAGGAGAATAAGGAACACAAGCGGCCACTAGAGACCACTTCTTTTGCGGATGTTTCGGAGTTGGTTGGTCGAGATGCAGTAAAAGAAGACATAATAAGGATTTTGCTATGTGAGGAAAGGTGTCGGAATGTTCCTATCATTACTGTAGTGGGGATGGGAGGGACTGGGAAAACAGCTCTAGCTCAATTAGTCTATAATGATTCTAGGATTCAGACTCATTTCAGCAAAACAATATGGGTTTGTGCCTCGGAACCCTTCGATCAAAGCCAAATTGCACGTGCGATTCTAGCAGACCTTGACATTGATGCATTCGTATCCCTCAATACTCCAACGCTACAAAATGTTTTACGTATAATCACTGAAAAGCTTAAAGCAGTGAAATTCCTTTTTGTTTTTGATGATGTGTGGACGGATGATGATCGAGAATGGCAACCATTGAAAGCCGTTTTTAAATACGGGATGCCTGGAAGTTGGGATTTTAGTTACAACTCGTAATGAGTCGGTTGCTAGGCGAATGGAGTCGTCTCATGTTGTTCCTTTAGAACTGTTACCTGAGAAGATGTGTTGGTTGATACTTGCTCAAAAAGCATTTATTGGAAGGAATCAGGTGAGTTGTGAAAATTTGGAACACATTGGGAAGGAGATTGCAAAGAAGTGTGGAGGTTTACCTCTTGCAGCAAGGACTTTAGGAGGTCTCCTGCAAAACAAACGAGGAATAGATGAGTGGCAAAATGTTCTGAATAGTGTGATATGGAAATCAGGTTTTGGTAAAGAAATATTTTCGCCTCTGTCGTTGAGTTATTATGATTTGCCCTCGCCGATAAGACGATGTTTATCGTATTGTGCAATCTTTCCTAACAGCTATACAATTAATAGAGATGAACTGATCCAACATTGGATGGCTCAAGGTTATTTGAATGCCGATGACAACAATGTAAGGAGAGAATTGAAAGGGAAAGAGTACTTTGAGTACTTAACCACCCGTTCCTTTTTCCAGGATTTTCAAAAGGATGCTCATGGCAACATAATTTCCTGTAAGATGCATGATCTAGTACACGAGTATGTCCAGTTTTTGACTGAAGACAGATTTGTGACGGAAGAGCTGGTAGGAAATTTGACGTTGGACCTATCTTCCAGAAAAGTTCGTCATTTGAGGTTGGTAATTCGAAATTGCAAGTCTTCTCCTTTGTGCATATATGGCATAGAAAAATTACGAAGCCTTGTGGTAGCCTCTGATGATAAAACATCCGGTGATGCCTTCCATGATTTGATTAGTCGATCCAAGCTTCTAAGGTTATTGGAGTTTGATTCGTTTCATCTACGCCCTGAAGAAATCGTCCTTGGCATGGACAATTTGATTCACTTGAGGTACCTTAGCTTGATATCTTGCTCTGGATTAGAAAATTTACCTGAAGCAGTGTGTGAATTGATTAGTTTACTATCTTTGAATCTTAGAGACTGCTTGAATCTCCATAAGTTGGCAGTTGGGATAGGGAAGCTGATTAACTTGAGGTGTCTTTCTATCAAGGACTGTCCACGTCTGACTTACTATCCTAAAGGGATCAGTAATTTAGCCTCTCTCGAGTCATTAAGCGGTATCAAAGTGAGAATAGATCAAAGTGATGGCGATCAACTCAGCATCGGAGATCTCGAAAATTTGGACCTCCTAGGAGGAAATCTTTCTGTTGAGCTGATAGGAGATTCAATAGATTGGAATGAAGCTAAGAGAGCCAAGCTTCACATGAAAATACATCTGAAGAGAATGGATATATGGATCTGCTCCGGAGATTTAAAGGAAGACGAGGTACTACAAGCTTTAAACCTGCCATCCAACTTTCCGGTAGTGCTGTTCGATTACCGAAGGTGGTTCAACTCTAATGATGCTTGCATAAAGAGGCTGACGATAAAGGAGAAAATTAGAGTCTCTCTCTATGTTCAAAAAGCAGCACTTCAGTTTATAGATGCTGCAGTTGGTAAGAAAAGCTAATTCTTCTTTTATGATTAGTTATTTTTACTGGCAATGAGTTAAATTTACTGTCCCGTTTTAATAGGAAAACCGGGACGATCAACTTCTGCCGAAAGTAGTGAGGATCCAACCGATTGAAAAGAAGCACAAATCATGTAAAAACTTGCAGGTTTGGTTTCCTCAAGTTCTTCATGAATTTAAATTTACAATTCCATCACTCAATAACCATTATCTGCTACATAATAGCTAATTTGAGCAAATACTTTTGTGGGAATATAATTGTCAACAGAGAGAGGTGATGTTGATGGAGAAAAAGAAAGCACGAGGAACGACATGTTGAATTTTTGATGTATTCAAGTAATGTGTATAATTTGTCTAAAATTGTATTTGATTTATTTCTCCAAGCATTTAATTCAATATTTGTAACTTTATTATGTGATTTTGATTACTACTAGAATATGTTCTTTGGAACCATATGTTCGATATGAAAGGTGACTGATGTTTTTGCTTATGAGGCTCTGGATATCATCATATTTTCTAATTGGCTGCAATTAGTTCATTTTTTGGATAATTGTTGTTTTATTACTTAAAATGTTCCAAGCTGTACATAAACACATCTGCATTTTCGACTCTATCTATACATTTTTTTTCTCAAAACAAGTGACATCTTCTTTCCAATTAGGGATGTAAAAAATTGATTCGACATGTAAAACTGACTGAAACTGATTTGAGTCAAAACTATTTTTACTGAGTTGTAGTGATTTGAAACCAACTCAAGTTAGAACTGATGTCAACATGAACCTAAGTTGGACTTGGAAATTGTGGATTTGAACCCGAATTGAACCGAAAATATGATAATTGAACCTGACTTACATTGACTGATATCAACCCGAGACTAACCTGGTAAATAATTGGTATTACCCGACCTGTTTTCAACCTGACATGTTATGAATCTGACCTGTAATTGACATAAACTGTAAATTATCCGACTTGTTATTGAACTGATCTGATATTTACATGACTTGATGTTTACATGATTTTATATATTATCATTGATGAAATTATAATATTTTAATGAAGTTATGAGATTTTGAATTTATAATAAATCATACTAATTAATATGATTAATTTTTAAATGTTATAATTAAATATTAATTATGATAATTAAATTAATAAATGGACTTATTATATTAATTTATAATTCTTATGATATAAATATTCAATATAATCATTAATTTTATTTTACTAAGTAATTTATTTATTGAACATGATTAATTAAATTAATTATAATGATTATAAGTTAGAATAATTTATTGGCATTGAACATGATTAATAAAATTAATTTAAATGTAAACTATATAGTGTAACTTATGTTTTATGTAATAATTAATTAATAATGTAAAGATAATTTATCTAAAAATTATAACATATATATAAAACATAATATAAAAGATGAATTTAATTGATATTGAAAATATGAATATCATTTGATTGAAAATTTGAATAACATAAAATTTATGACAGTTCAAAACAATAAAATGAACAAAAATAAAGTTAAAATTTAAGTTATCGGATCTTATAACAAAAGTTTTATAAGGCTAAAAGACTTACTTTGCTACCAGAATTTTCTTCATCGAGCTTTTGAATCAAAATATCTAAATGCCGCTAACATTGTTAAATTACGAGCAACTTTTCAGCTTTAAAAGCCGAAATGCCACCAACATAATTTAACATGAGTAACCATTTAGAAAAGAATTTACCAAACCCTTACAGAATCAAGCATTCAACAAACATTTAATAACAAAAACAATATCAAGCAAAATAAGGAAAAAAAGCAGCAAGAAGCATTTAGAATGATGCTTGTTGTAACTTGTAAGACACCCTATAAAAACAGAAGCATTAATAAACACATCGAAAAATTAATTGAAAAAACATAATAAATATAAAAATTAATTTAATAAACATAAATAAACAAAAGTTACCTTGAAAGGGAAGAAATAAGACAGAATTATTCACAAACCAATTCCAATGTTTTGACTTACTGTTAAACACCCTACAAAATTAAAATTAAAATCACTACTAAGCAATTCGAAATATTAATGAAATTAAAATAAAAATAAATAAATAATTTAATTACCTTTACATAGTAGATTCATTAACCACAATAAGATATTATTCATCCTTTTCTTCAGGCTCAAAACCATACAACCAATTACGGGTTGTTACAAAAAATCTCAACATTTTTAGGTAAGAGTTTAGCTCTTAATTGTTCAAACTTCGACCCCACTAAAGGAAGATTCAGATGCAACTGAAGTAATTGGAATAGCCAATATATCTCTCGCCATGAGAAAGTATCGGATAAGAAATAATTTGATTTTTCCAATACTCCAAAATATCAAAGTCAGATTCTTCAGTACGAGGGACAATGGGCAAATTGATGTAAGAGTCAACATCGGATTGAAAACTAACATAAAACTAACTTGAAATTAATATGTTCTTGAGTTCGAGGCCAATTGGAACTTGAGCTACTTCTATCTAAGATGTATTACATTAGACAAAAGAAGAAGAAGAACCACAATGTGCATTTTTGAATAAAATACATATAACTTAAGAAACTCATTATAATTGAGACTTACCTACCGTTGAACCTCATCCTCAACATAAAGAACATTGTACAACTCCTTCAAAAGTTGTAATTTATAGAGGATAATGTAAAACAACAAACGACATAATCATTGAGTGATCATACCAATATTTCTCATATAGTTCAATCATGAGTTCTGCCATTGCAGAAATACCTTCACAAAGATCATTATGAGATCACTCAACCATTTTTCAATTACAACAACGTTAGCCAAATACAAGTTAGAAGTGGGATACTTAGAACCATAGAACAAAGTAGTAATTTCATAAAAAGGCTCAAAACAATCATAGATTGTTTGAACAGTTTCCCACTCATGATCAGTAATGATATCCATCTCATTTTTCCTGTTAACAAACAAGTTAATGGCTAATATATCCTCAAGTTCCCTATGAATCATCAAATAAGTAGAATTCCATCGAGTAGGAACATTCAATAACAACTTACCACAGAAAGAATAATCATAGTCTTTAACAGCTAATTCAAAGGCACAAAGTCGAGAGTCATAAGAATCAATAAACTTAACAATTTCATTCATTTAATAACACTACAATCAATAACCTTAAAACCTTTTAAACTATCAAGTTCAAAATGTGGGCAGCACACCTTATATGGAAGTACTTACCATTGCATGGAAGAGGAGAAATGACATTCAAATCATTTTTAAAACTCTTAACCAATCTATCATTTGCAGAAGCATTATCAAGTGTAATGGTAAATTCTTTTTTTATTCAAGACCCCACTCACATATCATCTTTTTCACAAACTTAAAGATTGACTCACCATCATGGGGTAGAGGAAAGCGACAAAAACTCATTATTTTAGACTGAAGTTTCCAGTTATTTCAACATAATGAGCAGTAAGAGAAAAATAAGAACGTGAGGTACAGGCAGACCATCCATCACATGTAAAACAAATACGAATTGAAACAAAATGCATTGAATCAAGTAGCAATTTTTTATGATTTTCATGCTCCAACATGCAATACTTAGTAACAATATATCTAGATATATCCTTAACAGAAGAATTAAGGTAATGATGCAAATCCCTAAGTTTTTCATGCTCAACAATACTAAAACCATAACCATGACACAGAATAGCCTTAGCAAACAATTCACGGTATTTGTTTTGATCAAAAGAACTTACCATACCATGATTTTAGCAAGAAATTCCTTATAAGCTTGGTATTTCTCAGTATGCCTTTTACGGTTGATGTACCAATATAAGAATCAACTTTATACCTTTTCACTTTGCAATACTTACACTAGGCATAAAAAAAACCATCGGCATATTTGATAAAGGTGTAGTGCTCCCAAACAGGAGAAGTTCTTCTCCAAAACTCGGATGAACATGTGGCCTTCCTCTTAGAGGATTTATTGACATTAACTGCTTCGGACAGTTGATCATTTACATCCCCTTAAAAAACATAACATTAGTATACCACTCATATATAAAAATTAAAAAAAGAATTTAATGAATCAAATAGAGAGGTAATGATGTAGTTTACCTCTTTCAGATGTTCTTCATTCTGATCTATTGGGTTTCTCCTACAAAAAAAAAAGAATTTATTAATCCAAATATTAAAAATAAAAAGGAATGAAAACAATACATGGAAAGTTCAACTCGTAAGACAAACTATCCATGAAACCATAGAAAAAAATAGAGGTTTCGAATAAAGATGGGTAATAGTCTCGGCTAGAGAAGATGAATAGAGATAGAAGTAGATGAACAGCCTCAGTTAGATCTAGGGTTTACAGAAGATGAACAGAGATAGAAGAAGATGATGATGAACAATATCGGTTAGGGTTATAAAAGATTAACACAAGAAGAAGAAAAAGAGGCTTATTAGGGTTTGAGGTTAGAGAAGATAAACATAGACAAAAGATAAAGAGGCTTAGTTAGGGTTTAGGATTAGAGAAGATAAACTGAGATAGAAAATGAAGAATCTTAGTTAGGGTTTATGTTTAGAGAATATGAACATATAAAGAAAAATAATAAGAGGCTTGATTAGGGTTTAGGTTAGAGAAGAAGAACTTGAAAGATGAACTGTACTGGGTTTGATCTAAAAATAGTTTGAGTTTTGGTTTTGGGTGTTTGTAAGGATCAAACAAGGGTTTGAGGATGAATATGGATAAATAAGTGTTGAGGATTTGGGGTTTGATTAAAAAATAGGTTAAGTTTTGGTTTTGGGTGTTTGAAAAGATCAAAGAAGGGTTTAAAGATGAAAATGGATGAATAAAGGGTTTAATTTGGGGTGTTTGATTGAAAAAATAGGATAAGGTTTGGGTTTTGGTGTTTGTGAATATCAAATAATGGTTTTTAGGATGAACACGGATGAACAATGGATGAATTTGGGGTGTTTGAATAAAAAATCAAAATATTTTTGGGTTTAGGGTGTTTGTTAATGAGTTTCTAGAGAGAAGTCAGAAAATTTAGAGAGAATCAGAGTGTTAGAGAGAGAGAGAGAGCAAAATCACAAAATGACAAAAAAAAACGAAAAATTACATAAATTAGAAAATTTTTGGTTTATATATATTAGTCCAAATTAAGGCCTCTTGGACCGTGTGTTTTTGAAGTTCAATTGGCATTGTAGCGTCGTCCCCATGTTTTAAATTTGTTAAATTTATTCCAAATTTAAAGATGAAATTTAAGTTTTATATTTTAATTATTTTAATTTGATGGCTATATATTTTTCAATTCTTTCAATTAATATTATATGTATAAAGTATAGTTTATATTAATAAACTATATATTTTATTCATAATATATATAATATAATTCATATAGTTTACACTAATGAACTATGTAATATATATAGTTTACACTAATAAACTATATAGTTTATATATATGGTTTGTGTATTATTTATT